TGAAAATTCAAGTCTTTTGTACCTGCCCACTACCGTCAACATTGTGAATGTTCACGAAGTAAAGGTAAAGCTTCCCCTTGACATTTAGTCCAGTTGTGTCTGACTCTAGGGCACGGTGCTCATCCCTGTCTCCAAGCCATAGAGCCAGTGGTTGTCTGTAGGCAGTTTCCATGGTCATGTGGCCAGCGTGACTAGACATGGAATGCCGTTACCTTCCCACTGTTGTGGTTTTTATTTATCTATTTGCATTTGCATGCTTTTGAACTGCTAGGTTGGCAGGAGCTGGGACAAGCGAAGGGAGCTCATTCCATTATGTCGATTCGATATTACGATGGCTGGCCTTCTGACCTTGCAGCACAGCAGTTTAACCCGCAGCGTCACCACATCCTTGTGAATGTTCACTACCTGTGTTAATAATGCTATAGTCAGCTTGGGAGCTCATTACTAGGTATTAATATGCAATTATCATATTCTATTTCCCATTCTCCTTGGTTCCACTTCCATCCTCTCACCATATACACTGCATATAAATCTGTACCACAGATATTGCACCCGAAGTAGGACAAGTGGTTCCCAACCTGTTCTTAGACTGCAACTCCCAGAAATGCCCACCAGCATGACTAGTAGAGAAGGTTTCTGGGAGTTGCAGTCCAAGAACACCAGGGTACCCAAGGTTGAAAACCACTGACATAGGGGAACAGAGTGGGGAAAAAGGACAGGCTTCCTATACCTTCAATTGTTGCTTAGAAGAGGGCATTTCAACAGAAGCTGCTTTGATGAGACATAGGAAGAATAAATCAGAGAAAGTGAACATAATTTACAGGCCTTTTCTACAATTGTTCCCTGATTAATTGTTGGTATGGTGCCTTGCTTGATGATGTTAATTTGTATAGGGGAACAGAGTGGGGAAAAAGGACAGGCTTCCTATACCTTCAATTGTTGCTTAGAAGAGGGCATTTCAACAGAAGCTGCTTTGATGAGACATAGGAAGAATAAATCAGAGAAAGTGAACATAATTTACAGGCCTTTTCTACAATTGTTCCCTGATTAATTGTTGGTATGGTGCCTTGCTTGATGATGTTAATTTGTTCCAGCGAAAACCTTTTCTACAATTGTTCCCTAATTAATTGTTGGTATAGTAGTGCCTTGCTTGATGATGTTAATTTGTTCCAGCGAAATCGCTGTAGAGCGAAAACATCGTCAAACGAAATTTAAAAAACCATTGAAACCGTTCAATGTCTTCCAATGGGCTGAATACCTGCTCGTCCAGTGAAGATCCTCCATACAGTGGCCATTTTCTGGTGCCTGTTAAGTGAAAAAGCCTTCCTAAAAACAGCGGGGGGCCATTTTCTTCAGCCGGTGGCCATTTTGAAACCTGACGATCAGCTGTTTGCAGATCGTCATAAAGCGATAATCGGTTCCCAAAGCAGGGAACCAATCATCGTTAAACGAAAAAATCCCATTTAAACCATCATTTTGCGATTGCAAAAGTGATTGCAAAAACCTAATCATAGAGCAATTTCCTCGTTAAGCGAGGCAATGATTAAGCGAGGCACCACTGTATTCTACAAAAATACTAATTGGAATCTTATATGACCTCAAAAGTTTTCTTCCACTTCTCCAGTTCTGTAAAACCTACTTGTATCCTTTGAAATTAATTATATTTAGTGAATAGCAAGAAGGCAAAGGAATCAAGTAGCTTTAAAATTGGCAGATGTCAAAATTGCTATCTCACGTTACCTCTGATTGTAGTACTGATATTTTCCTTAGACTGTGTCCTGTCCATGATGAAATTATTACATCAAATTTGGCTTGCATGTAAACTGCAATTCTTTATGCTGCTGCAAATTTTCCCCATCTGGGTCAAGCAGTGACATACTGAATCGTTATCTGAGTTCATGAAAAATCATTCAAAGACGGTCCAGGAGATGAGGAAGATAAGTGGTTCTTCACGCATAAAGTGGATGTATGATCTGGCTGTGTGTTCTCTGAGCCACACCACTCATGCTCTGAGGTAAACATGTACACATGTATGTGAAAACAATGCATTTTTCGTCTACATTATGGAGATCCACTTTATTCTCTACAGGCGTAGTGGTTGGGCTGCTACTTCTGAGATCTAGACTCTAGTTCTGCTGAACCATGACACTCACAGGTTGACCTTGAGTCAGTCACTTTCACTCAGCCTGACCCACCTCACACAGGTCCTGTAAGAAAAAAGAGGAGGAGGAGGAGGAGAGTTGTGTATGCTGCAATGGTGGAAAGGTGGAATAGAGACATAATAAATAAAATGTATAGCTATGACATTTCTTTCCTTCTGTTTTGCTCTTTCACTGAGGTGGTACAAGTTACTTACTATCTTTACAAAGGCACAGACTTGGTTTCAATCTTTCTCTTGCTCTTCTCCCATCACAGAACCAAGTGCCAAGTCTTTCCCATTATCCCTTTTCACAAAGGATAGTTCTTTTCCGTCTTCCCTGATTCCCCGAGGGAAAGACCACTTTCCTTTCAGAATCAATGGTCTGATGGCAACTGCTTTAAACAGTAAACTTCCAGATGGGGTTGACTATAAAGAGCAGAGCTTTATTAGCATATTTACATTAGATTAACAGAGTCTAGCTTTAACTCATCTACCTCTCATAAAGATTCAGACATGTTTATTCAGTTTGATGAATCAAATGGAAATCAGTGGGGCTGAAGGATGCCTACAGCACTACTACACACAGTTTATGTGAAATTTTCATTTGAAATGAAATCATTTTTAAAATAAGTTTCTAGTGCTTATTTTATTCACATTCATAGGCCACGTTTAAAAACAAAGATCCATAGAAAGGAAACCCATGGCAACAATACATCAAAGGATTAGGTATACTGTACTTAGTAGGTTGAAATCAAGAAGCACTGCCACACAAACCCAACAATTTACTACTAAAATATGGTTATTACAACGAACACAAAAATGGGAAGCAGTACATTTTTGAAAGTTCTCATCTCTAACGGAATAGCTCAAGATCAGCTTCAATGCAAACGGTAACCATGTTTATTTTCATTTTCATAAATTCACTAACATTTACCTGTTCTCACATTCATTTAATCTGCATCTATTCCAGCTCAGTTATAACTGTCAAGTTTTAGACTGTAATCTCACTCACTATAAGAAATGAAACAATACAAATGAAATGAAACAGAAATGAAACTATACAAAACTACTGTTCAGTGTGATGGTCAGGTACCCACCACCAATACCAAACTATGTAACAGCAAAACATATACAGGAACCAGATCCAAGGGTATCCAGATGCCAAATCTCTCCCTATATTTACTCCACCAACATGACTGTGCTCTCTAATGTCATTTACAGTATCAAAGCTGCTCATCTCCCAACATTATTCAAAGTATGCCATCCTTTGTTGGTGATTCTGCACAGCACCCTATACAGGGCAAAACAGGCCAATTTGCTCACAAAAAAGTAAGTGGTCCCAATCCTGACATCCAAAGTGTCAACCAGTGAATGGCAGACTGCAGCCTCCCAGAACACTGTCAAATCACTTTCTGATGGCAATTCTGCAGCAAAGGGATTTCAAAATGAGTCTATAAGCCAAAACAGCAAACTAAAATGCATTAAGATGTTTCATTCTATCTACTGTTGGTTTGAATAGGGACAATTGTCTAATGTCATTTACAGTATCAAAGGTCCATAAGCTGCTCATCTCCCAACATTATTCAAAGTATGCCATCCTTTGTTGGTGATTCTGCACAGCACCCTATACAGGGCAAAACAGGCCAATTTGCTCACAAAAAAGTAAGTGGTCCCAATCCTGACATCCAAAGTGTCAACCAGTGAATGGCAGACTGCAGCCTCCCAGAACACTGTCAAATCACTTTCTGATGGCAATTCTGCAGCAAAGGGATTTCAAAATGAGTCTATAAGCCAAAACAGCAAACTAAAATGCATTAAGATGTTTCATTCTATCTACTGTTGGTTTGAATAGGGACAATTGTGTGTGTTTTAATTCAGCCACATAGATTAATCAGTTCCCCAATGCAAGAATTCTGTAGTTATTACCTAACAGCTACTTTAAGAAGGCCACTGTCTATATTCAGGAAAATATTTCATCAATCTTATGAAGTGGAATCCAGCCCTCAAAAACCAATGCTATAAGAAATGCATTCAAGGTGCCACAAGAACTCCCCCCGTTACATTATTACAATGACATTGCATTATTAATATCCAAGTAAGAAATTGTTTTTGCAAAGGGATAAGACTGTATATGCAGTTAGGCTCTGCAGGCCTCTTTTTCTGAGACTGTTCTCCAAACTGGAAACACTTCAGAGAATAACCTTTTTTTGTCTTCTAGATGGGTTCAGGAAATGAGTGGACAATAATTTAAGTTGGTCATATCTGTGACCCCAGGATTTAACGGTGCAATACTGGAAACATAAAAAAGGGGACGGAAGCAGTTGTTAGGCTAAACGCAGACATGTTTCACGGTGCAACCCCATGAACGTTTGCTTACATGTATATATCACTGTCTTCCGGGGCCTTACTCCCAGGTAAGGCTCAAGTGCCATGAAGCCTCAGTTACAATTACCAAGCAGGGCGGAGGAACTATGGGCTTCTATAGAAGGTATGGCGAAAAATAGTGTGGATAGGGGATATGTTGACCTACGTGTGATCCAACTACGGAGTTAACTTCTCAACAATTGAGCCGCGACATTTTAATGTGCAAAAAATGCAAACTGAGTTCCTCAAGCGGATCAGGAAGTCTTGCAGAAGACAGTGGAGCCCGGAAGATTCTGTATCCCATCCCAGTAAATGACAACGTTCCGGCAAAGAACTAGTTCTCGGATCTGCGGGTTTTTATTCTTACTCTTATTATGCAAGAAAAGAAAAGAAAAAAAAATTCCCGGGTGGGAAATCCCAGGGCGCGCGCGCCGATTCAGCAAAGGAGGAGGGGGGGGAGAGAGAGTAGCGCCGGAGGGACTTGCTTCTTACCCACCGACGGTGGCGAGGTAGGAAGAGGGCTGCGGCCGTGTGGCTGGGCAAAGCTCTGTGTAGCGCCTCAGGATCGACGTCTTCCCCACGGAGGACTCGCCGGCCATGACTATCTTGGCCAGCAGGGCTTGCTGAGCCCCACCGGCTTCCGGCTGAGCCATGGCCCGGCGGCCAGAGGTGGCTCCAGCGGCCCCGGCTGAATCGAAACTTGCCGGCTTGCCCACCCGCCTGGAGCCACCTCTTCCCCGTTCAAAACGGGGGAGTCAAGGAGGGCCGGCCCGCCCTTCTTCAGCCGGGTTCCTCCCGGGGAGGAAAGGGGCGGCCTTGACCCTCAGCGCGCTAGAAGCTGCTGCCGTTGCGAAGAGGCGCGGTCTTCATCTGGGGGCTGGGGGGGGCGTCTGTTCCGTTTCTTGAGGTCCTTCTTTTCACTTTAGAGCGTTATTGGGCTTATACGTTATGCCCTCGGTGGATGGAGCAAGCACCGTCCCTCTTTGTCGCCCCCAACTGGCCAACTCCGGTTGTCCCGCCCCTCCGTGTGCTTTGCTCGGCGCACCACACTTCCTCAGAAATCCAACGGGTGAAGCGGCCAGCCGTTCAGCCACTGGCGCGGCCATCTGGAATGGCTGAGGGTGGCCGCTTCTTGAAATGCAGCTGTTACAAAGGCGGAAGGTCTGGGTGGTGGAAGACAAAAGTGCCAGCCTTTGACTGGTTCTTTGCCATCTTAACGGGTACCACAGCTTCCTTCACACGTTTCAGCAGCGGCATCTTGCAGCTCTTTTTGCTGGTCCATGGCTGAATCATGATCTAGGCCATGTCCATTTCATCTGTCTCTCTTCGAGGGCCCGCCCCCCGTTATATTTTCAGGGTGGTTTTTTTTTTTTTTTGCCTTTTCTGAGATTTATTCAAGAGGACTAATCCCATTAGCCGGAGTTACTCCAACCTTTCGTTTCTTACTTGATGTGCGCAGCCCATATTTTGTTGAGCAGCCTCGGAGTTCTGTTCCTTGCATGAGAACTAGCTGTTTAGACTTTATAAATACCCCAGTTCCTGCTCCCAAATATAAGTGAACTATATCAAATCTATAAAACATGTTCAACACATTTGAAGCCTTTGGCTTCCTCTAAATAATTTGAATTTCAACTCCCAAAATCCCTGACCAGCTTGGTCAATGTTGAGGCATTGAGGGAAGTGTAGGTTAAGATATTCGAAGGGTCCAAAGCTCCCCTGTTCTGTTTGACAGGAGACCGTTTAATGCATGAATTTCTTAATGAGTAAGTTGCAAACTTTTCAAAAACAGATTTTTCTTCCTTTGATAATAAGCGGGAAGTGAAGCTTGTGGTTTTGTGAAATGAGAGGTGGTAGGAGAGAAGCACAATACAGACACCACTGTGGGACTTCCTTAAATTAGTTCTTTCTCTTCTTCTCTCTGAGATAGCCTTCCTTTCTGAAAATTCTGCCTCTTAGTAGTTTATACACCATTGAGACTAGAAGGAGTGTAAAGTAGATTTGCTGGTCCTAGAACAAGGATCTTCTACAAATTATGCATCATGTAAAAGCATATCATGTCCTGCAAAAAATGGGATTGCCTTTTCTATATATGTTGCAGGGGAGGGGAGAAGAAGGGAGCAGCAGGTACAAGGGAGACACTGTTTCTGATTTGTAGAGAAGGAGAATGGCTTTGCTCCTCAGCTGAGTAGTAGATGGAATGAAGGGGATGGGTGTGAGGCAGTATCTGAATGGGAAGCACGTCTGTGGGGTGGGTGGTCAGCTATAAAATAATATCCAGATTCTGCCTGGCACTCTGGTTCCTTCTACCATTGGTTCCTATGGCTTCTTTTACACCAACCATACTAGCCATTGCTACTGGAAATATTGGGAAGATCACTGATAAGAGCATCAGAGGTTATGAGTTATTAATATATGTCAAAGCACTGAAATTATGCATGCAACTTCTTTTATTGCACACATTTGCACTGTACATCTATGTCAGAAAAATCAAACCTTTTATATTATATGCAATATTGCCCCTGCTTTCTTAATTTTAAGGATTTTTATGGAGGATACTTCTTTGTTTGAAGGGTTGTCAGAGGACAGTCCTTTACCTGTTCGAAGGCCTTCATGGTCCAAATACAGTTTAAAGAGAATCCAATTTAGAAAAACTGAGCAAGTAAGGGCAAGTGTGCAGTAGCTTTTCAATTCCAGCAGGCTCTTGTTGCATGATAAATCTGACAGCTAGTGTAAGATAAGGCATGCTAAGGGAAGCCTGATGTGGGGGTGGCCAGTCTTCCACACTTTTCCAGCACTAGGGATTCTGACCAAGGAAACATAAGAGAGAGCAGAACTTGAGAGATGGAGAGCTATTAGCACCTATGTAGCTGATGGAGCAGGAACACAGGTCACTTGGTCAGGGGCTTTCTCATCATGGTGAGACGTGTGGCATTTTTATTAAATCATGTATGAATTTTCTTCTACACAAAGAAAAAAAATTCATAATGTGGTAATCTTTGTTGGTGAGTTAAATGCTGTTTTACCAACTTGACCCTCACCTGCTCAGATACCCAATGTAAGTAATCTTATACTTGAAAGAAAAAACATCCTAAACCAGTAATTAAATATTATGATAAATAATTATAATATATTTGAGAAATGTATTTATAATAAATAAAAAAAATATTTTGCATCATAAAAATGTAAAATAAGCACATCCAGGTACACTACAATTTATCTTCGACAATTTATTTTGAAAATGCTCCTGATCGGAAGATGTTTTTAAAACTTTACTCCAGAAAAAGTAAGGATATGCTAAAGATGTGTTATGTGTCTTGATTTCATTAAACATAAGAGGATTGTTTGTATTTGGTGATTACATAGGCTTCACAGCTTTAAAGCTAAATCTCCTCTCATCTCTAAAGCAGTGTCATTAACAATCAAGTTGAAGAGATCCTCCTTATACTCTCCTTTCTTTGGAGTAGGTAATAATTACATTCTAGTCTCTTTCTGACTTTCCATTTTCTTACTTGCTTCCCTAACTTAAGAAGGGCTACCTGCATCTTCATGACCCACATTGTTTACATCCTGGGCCCAATCAAGCCCCATTTAGGCCCCTTCCATATCTATCAATTAACAGGTACTATTGCCCTTAAGTTGCCAGATCTCAGGGCACTGGCTAAAGTCATAGTGTGGCTCTGCTCCTGGGGTCTCTAAATGAGGAAGCCAAATCTCATGGTGTACAGCACTGGAGAAGGAGAATGGGTTTTGTGTGGGAGGTGATTTTACTAAGTTCTGAGCGCCCTTCTCCATCCAGACCCAGCTGATGCCAGAGCTCACTGTTTGAAGAGAGGTGAAAAGGGTTGCGTATATGTTGCTCCAAATGGCACAATGGGCTCAAATACTGTATATTCATCTGCTGGTGTTCTCCTCAGTCTCCTCTCTTCAGTCTTGGCTATTTGGCATGTCCCATCATGCCTCTGGAGTAAACCAGGGAGTAGAGAACCAGCATCATAGCTCCAACTCTTCTTGTGAGACAAGCCCTGGCAGCAGTAGCAGGAAAAAATTGTCTTTCCAGGGAAACTCCCCCCCACCTCCCAGTCTTTCCCTGCCTTGCTTCTGTGACATCACAAGGGCCCACCCCACACTAGTCTCAGGTTTTGGTTCTGAAATATTAGGGAGTGACTTGTTAATGACCCGACAACTGTAATTGTCCTTCACTTTCCATATTAGGTATCAACTACTTATTCTTCTGCTAAAATGTTTGTGTTTCTCCATTGCTGTCTTTTGTTTTCTTCACAACCCCAAATTCAAGTACATATTTATTTATTTATTTTATTTGTATTTAAAATATTTTTACCCTGCCTTTCTCCCTGAGAAAGACCCAAGGCAGCTTACAACAATGAAAGACAGTATTTAAAATTGAAAACAAAGAGTATACAAGGGTGGTTAACATCATTAAAAGACAACATTTAAAAATTATGAACAATGAATACGGAGGCATCTTACATCAATTAACAGGCAATCTTAAGACAGAGCAATAAGTATACAGTGGTGCCTTGCATAGCGACGTTAATCCGTGCAGCAAAAATTGCTGCTAAGCAATTTCGTCGCTATGCGATTTTAAAAAGCCCATAGAAACGCATTAAAACCTGTTTAATGAGTTCCTATGGGCAAAAAACTGATATTAAAGCAAAGATCCTCCATACAGCGGCCATTTTTGCTGCCTCTTAAGCAAGGAATCCGTCCCTAAACACAGCGGGCGGCCATTTTTTTTACTCGGTGGCCATTTTGGAACTGCTGATCAGCTGTTAAATATCATCGCTTTGCAATGATTGGTAAGCGAAACAGGGAACTGATCATTGCAAAGCGAAAAAAGCCCATTTAAAACATCGCAATGTGATCGCTTTTGCGATCGCAAAATCTTCATCGCTATGCGGTTTCGTCACTAAACGTAGTGCCTGTTAAGCGAAGCACCACTGTACAAACATTTTTAAAAAGTCATTTTAAAAAGTCATTCTGAGGAATGGAAAATACAAACATGGAGAACATAGGTAGTACTAACAATCCGGTCAAAGCAGTAATGCATAACATAAAAATCGTGCACAGGCAACTGTACTGAGGGAAGGCTTTTCTGAAGAGGAAGATCTTTGCCTGCTTGCAGAAGGATAGCAAAGATGGGGCCAGTCTGGCCTGTGGAAGGGAGTTCCAAAGTCTGGGTGCAGCAACAGAGAAGGCTCTTTCCTGTGTCCCCACCAGACAGACCTGTGAAGGTGCCAGGATTGAGAAAAAGTCCTCTCCTGATGATATCAACACCCAAGCCAATTCATAATGGGAGATACATTTTTTGAGATGGCTTGGAGTCAGTATATTTAGAGCTTTATAGGTTAAAACCAGCACTTCAAATTGTGCCTGGTAACTGATCAGCACTCAGTGGAGCTGCTGTAATGGGGGTTATATGATTCCTGTAACCAGTCAGCAATCTGGCTGCTGCATTTTGGACCCACTGAAGTTTCCTGACAGTCTCCATTGGCAGCACCACATAGAGTACATTACAGTAAGCCAACTGGGAAGTAACTAGGGCATGTATCACAATGGCCAGATCAGATTTCTCAAGAAATGGATGTAGCTGGCACACTAGTTTTGATTGTGCAAATGCACTTCTGGCCATCACTGAGACCTGGGCACCCAGGTTCAGGGATGAATCCAGGAGCACCGCCAAACTGCACACTTGTTTTTTTTCAATGGGAATGTAGTCCCATCCAATACCGGCTGCATCCGTATTTCTTGATCAGCCTTTCGAATGATCAGGTGCACCTCTGTCTTGTCTGAATTACATTTCAGTTTATTCACCCTCATCCTGTCCATTACTGATACCAGACACTGATCTAGAGCTTAAGTAGCTTCTTCAGATTTAGGTGGCAAGGAGAGGTAGAAATGGGTGCCATCCCCATACTGGTGACATTGAACCCCCAAAATCTGGATAATCGCTCCCAGTGGTTTCATGT